GGGGGGTAGGTCTATTCTTTTTGGGCTTTAATTAGTTGAAATAAAGGTGAAGGCAAAGAAGGATATGTTACAAACTATAGTATTATTATAGTTTCAAATAATTGTTTGTTCAGATGGATGGTAGTACATTTTACTATTGCAGTTGCCGCACAGTTTACGGTTATAGGATTTCTATAGGCAGCCATGTGAAAGTAGTTGATGATGATGGCGATTATTATTACAGTGATTTGGTGGGATTGTTCTTGAAGCTAAGAACATATACACATGTTACAGGAACAATGCGAATCTCCTAGAATCCTGGCAGGAGGCGCGTAGCTTTCGAGTCAAGGCAATTCCAGCAGAGATTGTTTTCGTTTGAGTGAAGAGAAGTACATCCACACAATACTGGTCACTTTGTGATGAAGAAGATGGCAAGACGGGCAGACCAAAAATATAGAAGAGGGGAAAGAGGAGAACCCTCAAGTTGCGAGAATAGCCCTATCTTGCACCAACCCAGCTTTTCCGGGTTTTTAGTTTTAGTAGAGGTTTTACAGTGCTTGCAACTGCATAAGGTCATATGAGCGCCAGAAGATTAGAGGTGTTACAAGAGAGTAACAAACACAAAAAAGAATGAGGGGAGATAAGGAAGATAGACGTTTGATAGGAAAGAAGAAGCAAACCACACCAGAGCACCCGCCAACCACCCACTTTTCCGGGTTGTTTTTTTTAGTAGAGGTTTTACGGCGCTCGCAACTGCAAAGGTCATATGAGCGCCAGAAGATTAGAGATGTTACAAGAGAGTAACAAACATAAAAAAGAAGAAGGGGAGATCAGGAAGATAGATGTTTGATAGGAAAGAAGAAGCAAACCACCAGAGCACCCGCCAACCGCCCACTTTTCCGGGTTTGACGTAAACCACTTTGAAACACTGATTGATTAGTTTTAGTAAGACTTTTGCAACACAGTTAGGTCATAATATGAGTGCTGAAGAAAAGTGGTGTTAAAAGAGAGTAACAAATACAAAAAAGAAGAAGGAGAGACGAGGACAATACTAATTTTTGAAAAGAAAGAAGGCACAAATCACACCAGAACACCCGTCAACCCCCCACGAAAAGTACTTAAAACTCCGCAATATCGGACGTTAGTAGAAGATAAAATTGAGTTTCTACGAAGCATTTAAGCGTAATAATTTTGGATCCAAAAAGATTTTTTGAAACAACCTTAACAGTTGGGGACACAATTCTCAAAAGTCAGAAATTGGAGTCAGTGCAAGATAGAGCCTAGCCTGCAAAGTGATCGTCCACTCTCCGACCATTGTATCCTCTCGTGGAACGTTCTCAGTTCTAGGGCATAGATATCCAAGCTCTACAGCATGCTCTATGCGCTTTACGACTCCATTATTACTCCAGCGGACCCCGGAACACTCAGTGTATATATTATATTGTTGGCTTCCCAGGAAGTATTCATAGTGTAAGCAGCTGATAAAGTGTTCAAACACTGACAAACTGACAAGATATTTCGCTGTCTATAGGATTCTCCATACTGCCCTCCCTTTTTCTAGTAAGAGTTTTATGCCACTTGCGACACAATAAGGTCATATAAAAGCAGAAGATGAGAAGTTTTGCAAGAGAGTAACAAACCCAAAAAAAAGGAGGAGAGACCAGGACGATAGATGTTTGATAAGAAAAAAAAGGAACAAACCACACAAGAGCACCCGCCAACACAACCACCCACTTGCTAGGCTATTCAGCTCTAATTAATAATACTCAGTACTCACCTTCCCCGCGCCAAAGACAGCCTCCCTGGTGTAGCTCTGCAGGCAGTTGATGCAGACGAGGTGACCCTCGGAGCACTGGGCCATCTTCTCAAACTCACAGTCGCCGAAACAACACGCGCACTCGATGAGGCTGTCGTTGGGGGGCTCCTCCATGTCAGCTTTGGTTGCAGGAGTGGCGCTTTTTTGGTTTGGTGGCCGTCGAGTCTGAGGGATCGGTACAGTGAGGGTTACTTTAATTCTTTTTGTTGTTTTTTGTTTTGTTTTGTTTTAGTAAGCGTTTATCGTCACTTGTTATACAATTGCGTTATATTATAAGTGCTGAAGGTTAGAGGTGTTACAAAAGAGTAACAAACACAAAAATAGGAAAGATAA